GACATGAGACAAAGTATATGTGAACTGCTGTATGAAAAGTGAATTTACTCTGTAAATCTTCACCCAAATCCTAATAATAAAAAAAAAAAGATAACGAAAATTTTGATGCACTATTTTATAGAATGAAAAGATTTTAAAAAATGCAAAATATCAATGATGACAAAATATCAAAGTTTTAAGTAAAGACCGAATCTGACTCAGCACTTACATGACTAGGCCTCACTTGCCTCACCCTAATTCCAGCCTTGCTAAAAATGGAGTTCCAATTACCACGCCCACTTCAACCTGTAATGCCCACCTTTTTCATTTTCATTTTCATTGTTATGGAGGAATAACAAACACACAGTAAAATGCACAAGTCATAAGCATGCAGCTTGATGAATTTCCACATGTGAATACTTCCATGTAACTACCCTGCAGATCAAGATATAAAACAGTTCCGCTTCCTAGGTAGCATAGTGCTTAAGGCACTTGACTGCTAACCAGAAGGCTGGCGGTTCAAACCCACCAGCCACTCCTCAGAAGGAAGGTTGGGCAATCTACTTCCATAGTGATACTGCCTCGGAAACCCAAGGAGGGGTCGCTATGAGTCAGAGATGACTCAACAGCACATAACAACAAAAACATGTTTAACTTTAGTAGATTCTGCCAAATTGTCTTCTAAAATTATTGCTATATATGATAGTTCCAGTTGTATCACATCCTCACTGAGTGTTTGATATTGCTTGTCTTTCCATTTTAGCCATTCCTTGTGGTTTTAATTTGCATTTTCCTGATAACTAATGATGCTGAATGGCTTTTCATGTGCCTGTTGAAGGCTGGGCAATCTATTACCGTAGTGATTCTTCCTCAGAAACCCAAGGAGGGGTCACTATGAGTCGGGTCCAACTCAATGGCACGTAACAACAACAAGAACATTGGTCTTTTGGATAATCTTTGTGAAGTCCCTATTCAAATCTCTGGTGTTTATTGAGTTGTCTGTTTGTCTTTGGGAGTTCTGGTGGCATAATGCCCAAGGCATTTGACTGCTAACCAGAAGGCTGGCAGTTCAAACCTACCAGCCATTTCTCAGAAGGAAGGTTGGGCAATCTACTTCTGTAGTGATACCGCCTTGGAAACCCAAGGAGGGGTCGCTGTGACTCGGATCGAACTCAATGGCAGGGCATTCGTTATCTTTGTCTTAATGATTTGTAGGAGTTCTTCATGCATTCTGGACATGAGCACTATTTGTTCCCTGTTTAAGAAATCTTTGCCTACCCCTAGGTCATGAATATGTTCTCCTGTGTTTCTTCAGAGGAGGATCCTTAATGAAATGGATTGACATAGTGCCTGTAACAATGTGGTCAAACATAGCAACAACTCTAAGGATGGCACAGGACTGTGGGCACTGTTTCGTTTTATTGTACATAGGGTCACTATGAGTCAGAATCAACTTGATGGCCCCTCACGTTTTCTTCCAGAGACTTTATTGTCCATGGTCCATCTAGAATGGTCTACAGTCCATCTAGAATTATTTTTTTGTGTATGTGAGGTAAACAAACAAGCAAAAAACAACCCATTGCCACCAAGTCAATCCTAACTCAGGGTGCCCTCATAGGTTACAGAGTAGAATTGAGCTCCAAAGGGATTTCTTGGCTATAATCTTTACAAAAGCAAATTGCCAGGCATTTCTTCTGTGGCATCACTGGGTAGGTTCTAACTGCCAGTCTCTCAATTAGTAGCTAAGTGCAAACTGTTTATGCCACCAGGGACCTTATGGTGTGAGGTAGGAATCATTTTTCCCTCCATTTGCATATCCAGTTGTTTCAGTACTACTTATTGAAAAGTTTATCTTCTCCCCCATGGAATTGCAGAGACACTTCTTTTGTCAGGTGATCATACATATAGGTTTGTTTCTGGACTCTATTCTTTTCCATTGTTCTATTTATGTATCTTTGAGCAGCCTCATTTTGATCTCTTTCATAAAAGGATGGTCTGCCAAGATTACATTAAAAAAAAAAAAAAAAAAAAAGGCCCTAATACTGAAAACAACTAGGTTAATATATTTCAAAGTGCCTAGCCTATTATCTGGTACAATGAATAACAATATTTTTATAACAACTAATATTTATTGAAGGAGCTCTGGTGGCACAGGGAGTAAGACATTTGGCTGCCAACCAGAAAGTCAGTGGTTCAAACCCACCAGCTGCTCTGTGGGAGGAAGATAAGGCAATCTACTTCTGTAAAGATTTGTAGACTTGGAAACCCAATGGGAGTTGCTATGAGTTGGAATTGACTTGATGGCAGTTGGTAATATTTATTGAGTTCTTACTATGTTTTGTGCACTGTGCTAAGCACTTTTAAATATATAAACATTATTGAACCCTTTCAATAATCCTTTGATGTAGGTACTAATTTCATTTTTCAGGAAGAGGGCAGCAAAGTAACTTGTTCAAGGTTAGAATTTGAACTCAGGCAGTCTGAGCACATGGTTAATTCTGAGTCGGAAGCCATTGAGGTTTGCCCTAGAGCTCTGGCTTCCCTCCATCCCTGGAAAACATCTCCTTCCTCTGCCTCCCCTGAACCAACCTACTTTCAATGTAAGATCTGACATTATCATCTCTGACTTCATTCTGCCATTTTGTTTCCTCCTCTTACTTCTACTGCCCTACCATAGCCCAGACCGCATCACTTCACATCCAGCCAATTGCACCTGTCCCCCATTGCCTCAACACCATCAGCCTCTGTGTTTCTGTCTTCCCTCCACAGGCTGCTGGAAGTACCATTCTGGAAGTAAGACCATTCTGGACTGGCCCTGCCCTCTTCTCCAGGCACTTCTCCATAGGAACCATGCATCGTGCTGCACCCAAGGACTTGTTGTTCCCCCAACATCCTAGTTTTCCATGCCTCCATAAACCCAAACCATACCCTCTTTACTGCATAGCAAATTTTACTGTTCTTCCTTCTGTCCTGGGCTCAAAGTTCACTTCTGTGAAGTCCTCCCTTGCTTCCCTCCAGGAGGCTGTTCTCCCTGGCCCCCACCCACCACCAACCTGCATTGAAGGCTCAGGCATCATCCCTAGCACATGACCAGTGCTCAGGAAATGTCTCCTGAGCATTGGCCAATGGTTGGATGACCAGTGAGGAGTGAAGGAGTCGGGATCCAGGGACAGCCAGGCAGTGTGGGTGGGCGGGGCTGCTGTGCTTATCTACAAGGCTCCGTTATGGGTGCTTGAGCCCACCTGCTACCTTGCAGAGGGTTTCCTCTCTTACCTGTAGGACAGGATGTAGCCAGTGGCCCGGTCGCTGAGGCGGATGAGGAAGGAGCCAAGAGCTTTGTCCCTGAGCAGCTGCTCCGTCTGCCTAGGCAGATGACATGCCATTAGCTGGGTTCTGTGCCCTTACAGGAGCAGGACTTAGACCTGCTTCAGAATATCTGCTGGCCAGACCCAGTGCACAGACCTCTACCATCAAATAGGGGGCTCCCTCAGACCTTCAGCTGGATCTGTGCCTATCAGACCTCATCTGTAGCCTGTCTGGGCTCAGTTGAAAAGGTCAAGACTCAGCCTGGGATTGGGTCAGGGTCCTAAGGCCGTGTCCACCACCCCCACTGCAGCCTCACTAGCAAGCACACTAACCTCTGACTATGGCCATGCTCTGTGCATCTGGATGGCTGTGTGAATCCATATGATTGGAGATTTTTAGATTTGGGGGAGTCCTTGCTTCAGGACCACTGTGTACAGTTGTGCAGGATGTACACATCAAAAGAGTTTCTGAGAAAACTGTGTCTGAAGCCTGTTTCCTTCAACCCCAAGCAGCTTTGGATGTTTCTATCTGGTGCCAAGTATCTGGGGACATGGTTGAAAATTCTAGCTGTCCAAACACTTACCTGATGCCTTCCCCATATAAACTCAAACTCACTGCCATTGAGTCAATCCCAACTCGTAGCGACCCCTCCTTGGGTTTCTGAGGCAGTATCTCTATGGGAGTAGATTGCGCAACCTTCCTTCCAAGGAATGGCTGGTGGGTTTGAACCGCCAGCCTTCTGGTTAGCAGTCAAATGCCATAGATACTATGCCACCAGAGCTCCTGTGCCCCATATAGGACTTGCTAAATAATTTCCAGGGTCCAGTGAAAAGTAAAAATGGAGGGCTCGTTTTTAAAAAATGATTAAAAATTTAAAGGAAGCAGCAGCAGCACATTAAACTAAGCACCAGACCCTATGTGACTGGGAAGGTCAATGCCATGAAGCTGGCCCTGTCTCTGTCAGGTGCTTCATCTAGAGCTTTGCCAGCTTGGAGATCTAGCCCAACCAGAAAAGGCCAGCCCCATGTCTTGTCCTTTATTCCTAGCTGAGCCGTCCATCTAGCTTTGCCTGGGATGGTCCCTGTTTACAACAGTTGTCTTAGCTGGATCGTGAATAGTATTCTGGTTCAGATGATAAATGATATTGTCCCCCTAGTTATTCATCAGAGTTGAACACATCCTGCTCCCACTTGTCCCCTTTTCTGTTCTTTTGGCCACATGGCAACCCTAGCCCTCCTAGAGCTGTACTCAGTGAGAGCGGAGGCCCTTACCCACCCTGCCCCTGGAAGTAGCTGCAGAGGATGTGGCACTCGGCAGTCTGTCCACCCACTTTCACCACATCCTGAGGTCCCTTCCTAGTCCAGGGAGAGGGCAAGGCCCAGTCTTGTTCCAAAGTTCCCAGACCGTTTTCTTGGCCCTCAGGAATGGTGGGCCACGCTGGGCATGGGGACAGGGGCAGCCTTACTTGCGGGTGATGAATCCGTGAAACCAGGGGGGCAGCGCACCATTCTGCAGAATGAGGGGGGCCTGTGTCTCCATGAACCACTTCAGGGCCAGTGTCTGGAGGTTGGTCAGGCTGTCCTCTGCCCCTTCAGGCTCCCTCCCTAGCCTTAGCTCCTTTATGCTGCCCTCCATTCTGACGAGCACTGCAGCAAAAGTAGGGCCTCCACAGCCCACGTCTCTTTATCTGAGTGTGCTCAGTTCATTTGCCTGAGCCCATGCCCTCCCCAATGCCCTGCAGCACACAGGAGCCCTATTGTTACCTCTGGGTGGGTGGCTGGTTCTCCCTCTGATACTTTGGGGCAGGGCACCTGGGCTGGCTGGAAAAATTGCAGGGAGGGTCATATTAGCAGCCTGAGGTGGGGAGGAGGAGGACGTAGGGAGGAGGCTTTGTGGTCCAGGAAGTGAACTTCCTCACTGAATTTGACTTCTTGACCCAATCTGTGATCTTTGTCACAGCTAAAGAACAGACCCTAGCTAGAGTCTACAGCACTACCTGCCCTTAGCAAAGCAGTAGGTTTAAATTCCCTGTACACTTCCCCTGTGGAGGCTACTTGTATTTTGGTGAAAGCCAGAAGTTCTGTGCTCACCAATTCCTCCTTCTACTCAGGATTTATTGAGTGCTTGGTGGTGTAGTGGGTAAGGCATTTGGCTCCTAACCAGAAGGCCAGTGGTTCAAATCTACGCCCCGGAAGGAAGATGGGGCAATCTACTTCCGTAAAGATTTACAGCCTTGTAAGCCCAATGGGGGTTGCTCTGAGTTGGTATCAACTTGATGGCAGTGAGTTTGGTTTGGTTTTGTATTGTGTGCCAGGCACATGTGAACTCTGAGCATAAAACAATGAACAAAACAACACTTTTTTTTTTTAAATTGTGATTTGGATGAAAGTTTACAGAGCAAATTCACTTTCCATACAACAGTTGACATTGACTACAATTTACCCCAAAGCAACAGCTCCCCTCCCACTTCCTCCCCATAGTTAACCTTTTCCCTGTGTCCATACCTCCATGTACTCCTGCCCCCTAAGCTGTGTCCCTGTGCATAAACAGCCCTTCTTTCTCCCATGATTGTTCTCTCCAAGGAGTGTTATCTATCTCAGGTAGATACATATGCCTGTCTTTTGTTTGGCTGGAAGCCACAGGTGTGCGTTCAATTCCAGATCTGAAGGGCAGCTAAGGACCATAGTCTTAGTGGTTCCACCAGGATCTACCAGACCAGCAAACCTGGTTTCCCCTTCTTTTTTTCCCTCAAATGATTTTGAGTTTTGTTCCATATTGTTCTCCCTCTCTATCCAGGATCTCCTCCTACATAGATCCCCCTCCAAGTGGTTGACAGTAGTAGCTGGGCACCATCTAGTTTTTCTGGTCTCATAATCATATAGGCTGAGGATCTCATGGTGTACCAGTCACTAGGACTAATTGTTTCCATGAATCTTTGGTTTTCTTCATTCTTCTTTGCTCTGGATGAGGAGAGACCCATCATTGCATCTAGATGGCTGCTTGCAAGCTTTTAAGATCCCAGTTGCTACTTGCCAAAGTAGGAGGTGGAACAATGTTTTGTGTAGTATGTTATGCCAATTGAGCTTGATGTCCCCTGCGACTATGGTCCTGAGCCCACAGGATCAACTACTCACTCCCTGTGGGTAGCTGGCTGTGGCCAAGAAGTGACTACAACCTTGTTCCTTGTCAGCTCTACTATACACCTGGGAATTCTTACAGAACATACAAACACACTTGTAGAACCATTGTCTGCCAACCCTGTACATGGTCCTGGGTATACTCCCTGCTGCATAGACACATCTAATAGTTGAGCTGGTCCACCCATCTATCCACCCATATACCCGTGTTTGCCTTCACTGACAATGCAGTACTATATGTGCACAAGGGTTCATCTTTGTCAAAACAACACTTTTGCCCTCATGGTATGTACATCCTAGTGGAAGGAGACAGACTATAAACAAATACATATAGATTAATAGTTTCAAGTAGGGGTGCAGTGGTGGTTTAAGTGGTAGATATGGAAGACCTAGGTTCAATTCCCAGCCAGAGCATCTCATGTGCAGTCACTACTCATCTGTTAGTGGAGTCTTGCATGTTGCTACAATGCTAACCAGAAGGCTAGCAGTTCAAACCCACCAGCCACTCCTCAGAATGAAGACTGGACAATCTACTTCCATAGAGATACTGCCACAGAAACCCAAGGAGGGGTCGCTATGAGTTGGGACCAATTCGACAGCATTGAGTTTTGGGGGTTTATGATGCTAAACAGGCTTCGGTGTGGCTTCCAGACTGAGACAGACTAAGGAAGGCCTACAAATCTGCTTCCTAAAACTTAGACAATGAAAACTCTATGGATCATCTCAATGGTCCAATACCATGATGGGGGCTAACTGGATGACAACAACAATAATAGAGTGTCAAATGTTATAAGCAGTCCAAGAAAAAAAGCAGAGGAATAAAGGAGAGAATGATGGAGTATATTACTTAGGTAGGGGTATTACTTAAGGTCAGGGGAAGTCTTGCCCAGGAGGTAATACTGGAGAAGGAATCAGGGAGCCAAGCAGCTATCTGGTGGAAGAGATGCTGCTCGCTGGCAGAGGAAACACCAAGTGCAAAGACTATGAAATGGGACTTGGCTGGAGTTTCAGAAGACAACCCAGAAGCCCATATGGAAGTGGGGCCTTTGGAGTAGAGGGTTCCCAGAGGGCTGAGACAAGGCTTTTAATAGGAAGGTTTGGAACACTTAAGGTAAATGGGACCATTTGCTCATGCAAAAATCCCTGAATCTCTAATGTACTCCCTAGTTTCACAGTATAAAGACATCCAGGCTTAGTTAACAATGAGGCAGCCTCATGGATCTGGGTTAGAATCCTGTTTTTCTTTTTCAACTTAATCTAATTTCATTGTAGTGAAAATATACATAATGGAACACACAGAATCTCAACCATTTCTGTATGTACAGTTTAGTGTCATTCTTCAGCTCTTTTCATCACACATTGGCGTTGGGCCTCAGAAAAGTTACTAAGTTGTTATGGTTACCTCAATTTTCCCATCTATAAAATGGGAATAAGAAGAAGCTACTTTCTGGACTCTAGGCTGATTAGCCAAAAAAACCAAACTCACTGCCATCAAATTGGTTCTGACTCAGCAACCCCTATTGGGTTTCTGAGGCTATAAATCTTTACAGAAGTAGATTGCCCCACCTTCTTTCTGCAGAGTAGTGAGGGGATTTGAACTGCTGACATTCTGATTAGCAGCCAAATGCCTTATCCACTACACCACCAGAGCTCCTTCTAGGGTGATTACAAGGGCTAAATGAGATGACATGGTGGTTAAGAATGAGGGAAGGTTCATATTAAGTTCAAAAACAAGCAGAACTAGTCAATGGTGATAGGAGTTAGGATAGTGGTTACGGAGGTGGCATGAGGAGCTGCTGGTATTACAATGTTCTAGTTCTTGATCTAAATGGTGGGTTTCACTTTGTGAAAATTCACTGAGCTCTACACTCATTATTTATGCACTTTCTTATGTGCATGTTCAACTTCAATAAAATAGTTTTACTTAAAAAAAAAACAAACGGGGATGTGACAGATTTCCTCAGTTCAAATTCCAGTTTATAGCTGTGTGTGATCTTAAGCAAATGACTAAATTTTTCTGGGCCTCAGTCTCTTCATCTTTGAAATGGGGGCAATAATAAGGCCTACCTCACTGGATTGTTAGGTTCAATGAATTAAGTCTTTAGGGCACTGTTTGGAATAACGTAAGCCATCAGTATTAGCCATTACTTCAGTGATGATGAAGTAAAAACTGAAATACAGTGGGTTCTCCCCTAGTGGTAATGTTGTTGTTGTTGTTGTTGTTAGGTGCCATCGAGTCATTTCCAACTCATAGCGACCCCATGCACAGCAGAATGAAACACTGCCCGATCCTGCGCCAGCTCCATGATCCCTGCTATACTTGAGCCCATCATCGCAGCCACTGTATCAATCCATCTCATTGAAGGCCTTCCCCTCTATTGTCGACCCTCCACCCTACTAAGCATGCCATTCTTCTCCAGGGAATGGTCCCTTCTGACAACATGACCAAAGTAGGTGAGATGAAGTCTGGCCATTCTTGCTTCCAAGGAGCATTTTGGGTGCACTTCTTCCAGGACAGATCTGTTAGTTCTTTTAGCAGTCCATGGTACTTTTAGCATTCTTCACCAGCACC